CATATATTTTTAAAAAGTTCTAAAGTTTTAAGACTGAATGCGACAGTAAGAGAAAGCAACAACCAGCCCATTCATTTTCTGTGAATTAGAATGAGTGTGTGAAATGAAATAGAAATGTAAACGCTCACAGCTTGGTTGGCCAGAGGATTGTCCACGAACACCGACTCGGACCTCCTGGCTGAGACCAGCAGCAGCAGATCCTCCAGGTCCTGAGTGGAAATAGACGAGTTTTCTCCATAAAAGTGTAAAATGTTCTCCAGAAAGTTGCGTCCTTCCCCGGCGGTCAGGCGCCAACTCTGGGACGAGCTGAGGAAGGCGAGGGTCAGGAAACATCCGAGATGAAACATGTCTGCAGCTTTTCTACAAGTCTCCTCTTGGTAAATGAATCTCAACACTCTTCTTCTTCTTCTTCTTCTTGTTCTTGTTCTTCACTCGGACGCAGAGCTCATGGTTCCCTGTGCAGTTGGTTGGTGGAGCGGAGTCAGGCCCATGAGTCTGAGTCATGGAGGTTCTTCTGCGGATCTCCCTCCTCCTGCGTGGCTCTGCGTGATCCTGCGGGGCTGAGTGAGGGGGGAGGCCGGGTTCAAAGATCACACCGCACCGTCAGGGAAGGAGGAGAAAAAAAAAAAAAAACATGGAGGTGACCAACCGCGTGCACTCACCGTTTCAATGCACACACACACACACACACACACACACGCACGTGCATGGGAGAGTGTGTGCAGAAAGCATGCAGATGTGCAGCGCACAGGCAGATGTGTGTCCCTCAGTGGAAACAGCTGGAAGTAGATCTAATGAAACCACAAACAACCATTGTCATCACTCCATGTGAGTCCTCTGTGATTTATTTAAGGGTCCACGACGTCGCCTGGCGGCCGCTGCTGGTCACTGCAGGATGAACAAAGCAAAGGGTCGCAGAACACCAGACAAACAGAAAATCACTGTATGAGGCAGATTTCTCACAGTATCGGATGTGGTTTGTTGGGATGAACCTTTAGATTGTAGACGGTATATTCTGATTTCACCTTCAGATTTTAGATCTCACTCGAGACGCTGTCTGTTTTTTTTTTTGCACATTTCATATTGTTGGCATGTCTGTTGCTTCACCGTGATTTCATTTTATAGCTTTCTATACTTTTATAATATTACGTTTGAATATAGACAAATGGCTTGAACACGTTGCATCACTTGTTGTCCAAGTTAATAATCAGTTAATAAATGGATTCTGGTCCAAGTGACGTGTAGCAGAGGGTACGTGGGTGAACAGTCCAGATATACGTCGATGAATTAAAGAATGATGCAGGAATAAGATTTCATACAGCCAAGTCTTCCAAAGGTTGTTCTTATTAATGGTTAACAGGTCTGCATTAAGTATTAGTGACTGATTAATTATCACAAATGCCATTTTAACTACATCTTATAAACCCCTTTATCAGAAAGTGCTAATCTCTGATGATGTAGCCGGTAAAAGTGGAGCTCATTCTAACTGACCTATGAACAGTCGGGTGTAAACGCGTCATATTTTATATTAGGCTACCCGAGTAAATACACTTTGTTAGAGTTCACCTTCGTTATCAACAGCTCAAATCAAATTAACATGAAGATGTGACAAAGGGAATGAAGGGATTAAATGATGAGCCAATCGAAAGAAAAGAAAAACAAATCAGCAACAACTTTGATGAACGACTCACTGTTCAAGTCAATCTGTGGCTCTGGCTACTATAATATTCAGATTTCTAACTGTTTAAAAGATAAATAAATCAATAGACAAAAGATGAAATTAATCATTAATGACAGCTACTGTTTCAAAGTAGTAAAGACCGCATTGTATTGTAAACAATGTGTGTTTATTACTTGAAATATTTCTCAAATAAGCCCCACAGTTAATTTATAGTAAAAAGCACTGACGGATATATGAGCAGAAAAGTCCTTGAATGTCAAAAGCAACAATAACTCAAAAAACAAACTCAAAACAAATCATTTCTTTGGATGGTACGTAAAACAACAAATACAAAAACATCAAGTACTGAGAGTCTTTGCCCTGTTAAACAACTGAATTGTGCAAAAATGCAAAACAAACAAAAAGAAAACGGTTTCAGTGCATAATAAAAAACAGTCATCTACTAAATCGAGATCAGTCGAGATAACGTTTCCTGTCCACAACAACAACAAACAGCTGCGGCTGATTCAAAAAGCTGCTGGTGTGTCCTCACGAGTACAAAAGACAGTGGATCATATTCACAGATCTTTCCCTCGATCGTCTGTCGAAGAATCGACTTCAGAATGTTTCATAAAGCCCTGAATGGTTTAGAGCCAAAACTCTGATCTTCTGCTGCGTCATGAACCATCCAGTCGCCTCAGTTTTGGTACTTTGACATTTCATTCCCTTGTCTGACTGTTTTTCTGTGAATGAAAGCATCAGAATCAACTTGTTTCTTCCTACTGTCTCTTTTGTTTGGTGAGAAGCCGACGGGAACACACAAGCCTGTTCAGACACACGACGTCACCACCTCCCCATCTATCACCTTCGTTCTAACCTCCACGTGGACTCGAGTTGGTCACGGATCAGTACACGTCAGTCAAAGACGTGACGGTGAGGGACCTGGAGAGTTCTGAGACACTGGTGGGACGCCACGCATCAAAACTGACCGTCATGTTCCCAGAAACCATCAGGAAACCGTTGGAGCTGAAGCGTCCGGGGACGTTTCCCACGTCGAGCCACACAAACGGAGCCACGGAGGAAGAGTGGAGGGTGACGACGAGGACAGACTCAGCCTCGTGCACCTTCGCCTGCAGGAACAGACGCAAAGATGGGATATGCAATATCATGTATGTGCATGATCTGCATCATCGTACCAGAATGCAGTAAAGTTTCTTTGTTCACCCGGTGACTCACTGTGATGTTTGGTCTCTGGAGTCCCTCAGCGTCTTTGGGTGAGCACAGGAAGTGGTGGTTGGTGGGACCCTGCCGGCCGCTGTCGTCCTCCAGGTGGAAGGTGAGCAGGCAGGTGGTCCGGGTGCAGCGTTCACATCCTGCCAGCAGGGCGGCAACAGGCTGTTTAAACACGGCCACGGCGCTGCCTCCGGGGACGAGGAGCGGGTCGGACTTCAGTGTGCACACAGGATCTGGACGAGCCCAGGACAACACGGTCACCTGAGCCACAAAAGAACAAAGCAACGACCACAAAAACAAAAAACAAAAAAACATGACTTCAATAAACTACAGGCTTAGACTGAATGTTTCTAAAAGTGAATTTAGACTCTACTGCAAAAAGAGTCTGAAACATTGAAGAAAACTTTCATATATTTGCATCGTAATCTCAAAAATGTTCAGTTCTCAGCTCCATCGTTCAAACCCAAGTGTCTATTGTCTGAACCAGTGAAAACAGAAACTCTATATAATGCAAACTTCTTAAGATAAAGAAATTGCTGTGTAAACCTATTTTATATATATTTGTTATATTTTATTCTGGTCTTCAGACCTGTACTCTCACCAAACACTGTGTTGTTGCCTCAGGAGGTTAGCTCGCTCTTTATATCTGAATTTTACTTCTGTAAAGTCTGAATTCATTTATTCCGACAACACCCTTAACACTCACCACAACCCTGAGCTTCAGGTCGTGACTCAGGTCAGAGACGGCGTAGATGAACATCGTGTCTGCGTCGTCAAAACCAACAGGAAGGACGGGGGCGAAGAAGCTCTGTGCAAAATAATGAAGCATTTTCCACTTCCCGCCAAACTCTGCACACAGAAACAATAAAGGGAATGATATGTTGTTATTACCCAGACACTGACATCTAATCTAATTATCTTTAATGCAATTTCTTTAAGTGTTGAATCCAAAGTTCTACAAAAAAATAATATGGTTTCTGGAAAAGATCAGAGTTTAACCTGCTGAGATCTGTTCACTCACCGATTGATGACCAGGAGGGCGCCTGCCAAATATCATTGAGCTGCCAGTAGAGAGCGCCCATGGTGTGACCTTTGCCCTCAACGATCTCAGTCCGACTCCGCCGATAAAACTCAGTCTGAGTCTTCACACACTGAGCCTGCATGACCTGGACAAGACACGTGACCGTTACTACTTTACTCAACTAGAGTAAAAACCAAATGAATGCTGACAGGACCATGGCAGAGGTACATGTATGTGCTCTACATCTATGTGCTCTACATGTATGTGCTCTAATGAGTGTAATAATAGTTCATGTATTGTTGTCACAGCCTTGACATGTTTAAGATCAAAGTCATTATTATTCATATTTTGAGTCAAATCAGCTCATTCGCTAGTTTTACATTCACCTTGTTTAAACAAATCAGATCCAGGTGCTATATATTCTACTTCAGTAAGAGTACAAATACCACAATGAGGAAGTAGGAAAGTCCTGCATTTAAAGTACAGCACCTCTTTGCAGAGTGGCCCATGTAAACCACATCTCATATTATAACTGGTGCAGTTTACTTCCTATACAGCAGGGCACATTATCACAGGCACATTAAAGTCTTAGCTAACATATCATTCATGATGCATTATTAACCTGACTGCAGAGTAATTGATGGTTAATGTTGGTGAATAAATAAAGTGGATTCTAGTTTTGTTTGTTTCAAAATGAATCAACACGTGTCATGAAGAAGAGGAAGAACAGACAAAGACACTTATAAATAATGAATGAATCAGTGACGTGAAAACCTGGAGCAGCTGGTCGAAGGTGGTTTGTGAGTTTCACCTGAGAGATGTACAGAGTGTCTGTGAATCTTTTGAGGGGATCAGTGGAGTTGGGCAGGTGGAAGTGAACAGCCGCCTGCTGTAACATCTGCTGGTTCCCGTCCTCGTGATGTTGACGATGGGAAGTGAAATCACTGTCATAGCTCCAGTCTTCTTTCACGGAAACCTTAAACATCACACAAACGGTCAAGTGATGAACAAAACCTCGTGAGATAGTTATTGGTTGTCAGGGGGCCGACACGGCTGGAAGATGCGTTCACTAACCGGCTGCAGGGTGGAGAAGGAGGGCCAGGACTGGAAGCCGTACTCGGAGGCGAAACGCGTTCGAGGGAAAGTCCGCCAATCCCAGCAGTCACTGAGGTAGCTGTAGAAATGAGTGTCCCCGTAGTGAGGGTCATAGGGGTTCTCTGCCACCCATCCCTCCCGCTCCGATTCAGCCCCGTTCGTTGGACTGGAGACGAGAAACGGTCGACTCTGGTCCTCCTGGAGGAGAGAACTGGCTTTTAAAAGGAAGATCTCTGAGAATGAACGATTACACGTCAACTCATCCTCATTTTAAAGGAATCTCCTCACAGCCTTTATTTAAATACGACTGGTTACTCACTTCTTGCACAATCTTCCTTATGTTGTTGACGTACAGCGTCACATAGTCTCTGGTGTATGTGGGCCTCTGAGAAGCCGGGATACTGAACCAGTCCGTTGCCAGAGCAGCTTCATTTTCATTGTTACCGCTCCAGATTATTATCGCGGGGTGAGACTTGAGGCGTCGAAGCTGGGGAGCAAAAATAAGACAAAACTCAATATATTTAATTTGATTGTTAAGATTCAAAGCGGCTATCAAGCGACGTATGAAGCAATATACGCAACTGCACTCAACTCCAGCGTGGAGTGAGTGTCTGAATGTTCCGGACGATTTAATGTTGTTGTAAAAGAATCTGAGGAGTTAAAAATACTTAAAGTCATTAAAAACCAGAGTTTGTCTCCAATATTCTAAACAGGGTTTGGTGGATTTGTTACAGCTGCAGCTCTTCTGGTTCAGGAAAGCCAGGGATCATGGGTAATATCAAGTGTTCAGTCGTGTTTCAGAGAGTGGGGCTACACGACAACTCAACACATTAAAACCACCTCATCACCCGGACACAGAGCCCATCAGAATGAATCACCATGTGTGGCTGCAGGGGGCGCTGCTGCTCAGTAAAAGTTACATCGTGTTGTTTTAAGACACATGAACCATGAAGACACAGCTGTGTGTTGAAAATAAACATTAATGTAAGTTGTGTTTCTCTATCTGTGTATTTTTTAATAAAATGAACGAATGAAAACACCACTCACCTGCTGGACGACCTCTTCTCTGACTGTCTGTATGAAGTCGTCCTCAGTGGGATACATGGCGCAGGCAAACATGAAGTCCTGCCAGATCTAAAGACGCATATTTAAACACAGTGAGCTTCCATCTGTTCTACAATATGTTCAGAATCTCACAGGAATATGGCAGCAGTGATGCTTGAAGAGTAAAAGCGATTATGAAAGATTTCAAAAGACAAGAAAAAGATTTGCATTTTTCTATCAACATCATTCAGTCAAGTCAAAGAGAGAAGATGATGATGTTATAATTTCAGAATCGAAATCCCCAGAGGATGAGAGTGGGTACCATGATTCCAAGTTCATCACAGACGCTGTAGAAAGAGTCCTGTTCGTAAACTCCTCCTCCCCAGACCCTGAGCGTGTTCATGTTGGCGTCGACTGCCGACTGCAACAAGTTCCTGACGCTTTCAGACAAACAAAGAGAAGTTGGCTTCAAATCAGGACAATCAGGAATGTGAGAGTAGACAAAAGATTTATCCTGTGATTCAAAGTCAGAAAATAATAGCTTTTCAAAGTAAAACTCACACATCAGAGGAGATCTGGTCCTGGAAGGCGTGAGCCGGGATCCAGTTGGAGCCTTTGAGGAAAATTGGTTTCCCGTTGATGAGGAAATAAAAACTCAGACCTGGAGACCCGGCGACTGGCTCCTGGATGAGTTCCACTGTTCGAAAATAAACCTGCAGGAGACGGTAAAGACATTAAACCCACTGGAAAGTACAGCGCCCCCACTACAGCTACAGGGACACAAAGGTGGCAGGATTTATTCAGTCTCTAAACTGCTTATAACTCCTCTGTCTTACTAATGGAAGCATCCCATCATGGTTGAGGTTACAGACTGTGAATAAAGACAGACACGTCTCCATTTCCTCACGTTAGAGGAGGAAGTATGGAAGCGGAATATTTCCCACAAATCCTGCGACCTGTATGAATTTGGCTCAGAGGTTTATTATCTGGATGGACATAGACAGATGGTGTTGATCGGTAATGAGCTCAGACCTTGGACGTTGTATTCAGGATTAAAAGTCCATCCTGAAAACCTCGGACACTCAGCTGGTAACAGGGCTGTTCACCGTGTGTGTGAGGCCACCACAGCTTCACCTCTCTGCTCTGGAAGGAGGAAAAGTTCTTCAAACCTCTGCACCCTCAACATGTTTCAGGCTATAACACACTGACAGAAACAAGACTTTCATTTAACACAGAGCTGTGAAAACAGAGGTATTATTTCTCCAACTTACCGTGTTTATGTGTAAGATGAAGGTGTTCTTGGTCTTTCCAGAGACAAACTGTGTCTGGAAGCTTTTCTCTGAGTCCAGCTCAGGTATGGAGAGAGACACTTGTCCGTTCGTTGTCTGAACTGCATCAACAAGAAGCTCAACCTGGACGCTCCACTGAGAGAGGCTGGAGTCTAGAGAGATAGAAAATACATTTGTAGAGAACATTTTGAAAGGTCTCAGTTTCAGAGTTATATCAGTTGGAGGAAATATATGTTTTTGTGAAATTGTACACGAACAGGAAGCAAAGTCCCGTCCTCAGAGAAGAGAAGAAGATTATGTGTCGAGTTAATCCTCAAAATTGACTCATTGAATCTCTGGCATTGATGACGATGTGAAAAACGAACCCCTCTGCCTCATCTCAGCGATATTACTGTGTGTGTATTCTTTAAGTGATAAAAAGGTTTAGTAACACTAGTGCACTTGTGAAAATGGACGTACTGTACAGAGGAACAGAGGAAACCTGGACGAGCTGCAGGACGTCAAACGCCTCCACATGAACTCCCTTCCACAGTCCCATGGTCGGGAACGAAGGCCCCCAGTCCCAACTGAAAGAGCTTTGCTCCTGCAACACAACACAGGATATGTAGCGGCACAGTGATATCAAGAGTTTAGAAATATTCTTTTTTCAGAAGCGTAAAAAAGGCTGGACGTACTTTCCTGATGAAATTGACGTGACACGCTCCCTTCTGAACATCTGGAGGACACTCAGGAGGAACTCTGTAGGCAGAGTGAGCTTCCCTCCGTTCAGATGCGTAAAGAACCGGAGACGTCAAACTGACCTTCAGCACATTAAGCCCGTCCCGCAGGACATCTCTGACTGAGAAGTCCTGCGGATCAAAAGACAGATGATGTACACTGACTCACACGAGAGGAAGGAAAATGTTTCATCTGTCGCTGTTCGTTTCGACGTACGTATCCGCGGAACATGTTGTCCGTGCTGCCCACAGGGACTCCATTGAGCCGGATAGATGAGACGGTGTCCACGCCGTCAAAGACGAGAAGAACCTTCTGTTTGTCCCTGTTCGAGCAGAGAAACACACACACACACGTGAGTCAGGATCAGGAAACAGAAAATGCTCTTAAACGTTGAATTCAATCGTCACACTCACCTCACCTGGCCGGACACGTTAAATGCGGTCGTGTACGTCCAGTTTTCGAAAGCAATCCAACGATAAGTCAAATCATTGAACCTAAAATATGGGTCCTGAAGAAAATGATGCAATCAACACGTAGAATTGATTGATGGATTGATGGATTGATGGATTGATTGATTCCTACCTGGATGAATCCCTGTCGCTGCAGAGCTGAAAGGACACATCCGGGCACCTGTGCAGCCAGTGACTCTGAACCGTTGGAGTTGGACAGACTCCATTTACCGTCCAGACTCAGCGTCTCCGGGGGACCTCCGGATAAAACACCGACAAACAAGCACAAGAAGACACCGAGGGTCCGAGGACACGTGTCCCCGCTCACAGACATAGTTTCGGCTCTGCTGTCGACATCGACGTGAAATAAAACACGCGACAGAAGAAGAGTATCGAGGGGTTTGTTTTTGTTGCGTTCACTTCCGTGTTTGTCATGTGCCTTATCTCCTGTCAGTCATGTGATCAGAGCACGAGGGACACGCTTTGGCGCGAAAGTCTTTTTAAATTGTATTCGTCACAATTGAGTTTTATTTAAATTTGATGTTAAGAAAAGATGAATTTATTCATATTTATATTTAAATTACTACAATGAGACAGAAAAATATTGGCTGTCATTGGAAACCTTGATGCACCTGAGCTATATTTTAACTTTAAATTTAAATTTACAACCAAGTTATACATGTGAGAGTGACACGTTTTAGAAAAACATTAAACTTATGTTGAAAAATTCTGTTTTGTGCAGCTCCTACGAATAAATGGAAGAAATTCAAAGTGGCCTTGATTTAAAAGTTTCTGCTAAAGTTTCACTTGGTGAATAACTAGAACGATCCCCATTCTCCACATTCGCATATTGTTGTCATGGTAAAATCTGACTGCAAATATTTACAACAATTTTAAAAAGGTCGAAGAAGCATCAAAAGAGTTTTAGTTTCTGAATCCACATTATCTAAAAGTTACACGAGCGGTAGTTGTGGGTTTCTCAGACATCAACCCTATGAAACATCTGTATCTGCTCGATACACAATCATATCAGTTCTCTTAATGCGTTTGATTTTCTCTGGGAATCAAGATAAGTGCTTTTTTTGTGTGTAACCCTGTTGGCAGGTGAACCAACATAGAAACAGACAAGGTTAAAACATAACCTCTGAAGTTAGATTGAAAAAAGACTCAAGCAAAATCAGACATTTCCCCAGTTTTCCAGGCACAGCAGATTTAACAAATCAGGCATTTGATCTTTATACAAGAAAACATAATATAAAACACTTACACTTCAACACCAGTCACCGTGTGCCAACAAAGAAACCTAAACATTCTCTTAAATCGAAAAGCAAAAAAAACAAAACTCCATTCTCTTTATGGTTTAAGTAACTTTATTGAAGGGAAAACTAAAAAGAAACAGAGCCACAAGTTGATTATCAACCATCGGCTTTGCGTCAATATTTTAGGGCTACAAGAAGACAGTGTTCAAGTGGGCATAAAACTAATCGCTCATCTACTGGCTTCTAAATAACAAAAAGAAATAGAAAGCCTTTGAGGGGAACCAAATTTTTCCAACTGTTCAGCCTTACAATCCACTTAATTTGCAGAAACATCAGATATAATAGCCTACCTTTATTAACATGCATAAAATACAACATTGAAGTCCTTATATTTTGTTTCCTTAACATCGATATATACTGCTGTGTTTCTCTGTACACACACTGATAGTGGAATAAGATACACCTCTTTCCTCGGGTAATAGATCCCTATGCTAATGATCAGAAGAACATACTGACGTCAGACCGGCCCAGGAGCCACCGACCAGTTTCGCTCATCTTTCAGAGAGAAGGCATTCCCCAGTTCAGATTTTACCACTTCCAAATAACGGCAGACAGATTTCTTTTGCCAATCTGAAACCTGGAAACTCAGAATTTTTTAAGATATAGCCAAAGACAGCTTCTCTAGAAACGCTGAGAAACTCAGCTGACCTGAGAGTAAAATATCAACCTCGCAGGATCCAGCCGGTTTTACCTTTTGGTCATCATGGGGCTGATAAGCTGTTGAGCATGAGGAGACCAGTTGCATCAGATTCTACTAAGTGTGTGCAGAGTAAATGACTAACATCACCAAATCTGGGTTGAAAAACTTTTACTGGTGCATGCTCAAGCTGAGTGTTCAGAACCATGGTGATTTTTTTTTTTTTTTAATCCGTACAAAATGGGAATTGAAACCTCACAGAAACTGGCATGTGTCCTAGAGAGAAAACACTATCTTCTTATGAGCACACAGGTTGGGGGAAAAAAGGAAAGGAGGGTAAAATGCTCTGATTAACAAAAAAAGTGAAAAAGAAGAAACAGAATCCTGGAATTTTAAGTTTGAATCAGCGACCACATTTTCCACCAGCTTCCTGGACGATGCCATCACATTGCGTATTTGGTTGTCCATTCTTTTGCCAGTTTGCTGTATCTGCAAGAAGAAGAAACCAGACAGGGAAATTAGGAACTGTCAAGACTGTGATTCAACAGGTTTTTATTTTACCACATGCATCTGAGCAAAGTGCTTTTTCAACAACCAGGCAAGCGAAAGCTGCAAATATACTTGACATGTCATGCACAAGTTTCTGATTATCAAAATATCTTTGTGCTTACACAACAACAACTTTTATTTTTTGTAAGAACAAAAACCTTTCATGCAAGAGTTAGTGGCTACATGTACATGCACAGACAATCTGCTTCTAACCCGGTTATTCAAATAATCAGATGACAGGTCGGTTGATGTTTATCAAACTACTAGAAAAAAGGAACAATTACACAAATATTTATATTAGAAGAACAAGAAACTGGTGATAAATCTTTTAACGCCTTCATTTTAATAGAAAAAGCAGCGTTGATTTGGTTCAGCTGCTCCTGTGACTCCTGATTAATGTTTAAGTGGAGAAACCTCAACTACCAAATATTAAAATTTGTATTTTGAGTTATGGTGGCGCCGCTACAGAAATGTGCTGATTAGATGGCTGGCAGAAATTAAACTGGACTGATGAACAATTTTTATAGCAAAGTGGCAAAAAATTTCATGTTTAGTTTTCGTCCCCTCACTGTCATTTGATTTTTGTTAGGATTCCTTCGGTGTTAATTTTTTACAAGAAGCCAAATTATCTGCAGGTCTCTGACACCTAAAAACAAAACGGTCTAGATGATAAAAATCCTGAAGAAAGCATTTTAATCTACCAAACACGGGGAGTCATGTGGAGCTGTGGAGCTGCCAACATCAGCTCAACTCGTTTCTGACTTCTCGGCTTCAGTGTTGATTGTTGGAAGTGTTTGAGCTTCTGAAAACCTCTGTTAGGAAACCCAGCTCACCTTGTTCTTACAGTTTGTCTGCTAGTCTAAAATTTGTCAATGCTGTTCATGAATGCGGCTTGTTTTGGCAGCCGACCAAAGGTGTGTCCGTAAACGCACCGTAAAAACGTTTTTACAAAAGGTCCCTGCTGAACACTGTCACCCTGCAACACTAACTGAAAATTAAAGGAGACCAATTACCTGTGACGAGCGCCTGACTAAAGCTCACAATGTTGATTTTACTCTTTTAAACTTGTGATTAAAAATGGTCAGAAATAATGTTTTCTGGGAGATGTGGTCGAAATGTTTTGTTTTAAATATTTGTCGTAATTTACTTGACAGTTACTACTTGAGTCTTAAGGGGTCATGCAAGGTTCAGGGAGAGTCCATGCCACATTTTGTACATAGTGATGACATCCCATTAGTGTTAAGTAATGTTTTAATTACAAATGTACTCTTGCGTGTCTGCTTCTCTTAAAGTTATAGTGCTTTAAAAAGACTTCAACCAATCTCCTACTGGATATTATGAAACACAAATGTTAAGGCCTGTATTAGTGATAAACCCAGAATTTTTCAGGAGACCATTTTGCCTGTGGTCTGACAGAGAGATTATTTACAGCAACAACCCTAAGATTAGTACAACCACAAATCTGAAACTGCCGTAGTATTCTTCATAACAGAGATCTAAAGCCTCTGGTTATGCCAGTCAGACCATAGCATCAAAAGCACAACCAACCACTCCAACTGCACTACCCAAGATGCAGTGCAGCCTCACCCTAAAGCATGGCATACTTCGCCGTCCACTCCTGAGCTAATTTATTGTACCTGACAAGAGTGAAACTAGGTTACACGCTGAGCTTGTGTACAAGTTGATCTTCATCAAGCATCCCTATGAAAGTTGAACTTGTATGCAGCATAAGATATGTACAGCAGGGCTGGGAAACAGATTTGAATGTTTTACAAATGCAGAGAGCACTTCTACATATAAATAAATACACACTTACTTCTGACTATCTGTTTTGTAGATTCGTGCGATCTCTGGCACTAGTGGGTCGTCAGGGTTCGGGTCACATAGGAGTGAGCAAATGGAGAGAAGAACTGGGAGAAACAGGAAACGGATGTTAAGACCAATTTTTTTTGTTCATTCTTAGTTTTATCCAAAACAAATTGTTTGTTACCCACACTTTGAATAACCACACCATGTTTAATGAAACTTATTGTGGAGCAGAGTAGATACGTATGTGTGTAATGTAAAAAAAATAAAGGTTAATATGAAAAACAGCTAACGGCAAATTGTGCCTTAACTTAAATTTTATTATTTGTAATGTTCTGAAGAAGCACTAACACACAAAAAAGGCTGTGCCAACTTAAAAGGAAATAAAAACACCTGCCAAAGTCCATGTGAGGCAAAACATTTACACATTCAAATGACTCGACTAATTTTAGAATCTTTTGTGTTTTGTCTTGTGTGTAGAATCTGTATCGATTCTTTAAACTTGGCTTCAACAGTAAAACCAAAGGATATTATTCTGTTATGTTGGTGAACCTATAATCTTATGTTGTGACACTTCTTCATGAGTCTGTCACAAACTAAATTATTTATCCACCGCGATAATTGACAAAGTTGCCGTGAAGAGCTGATGCAGTCTCGATTATCCATACCTTTAGAAATAGTAAGTGCAGGAGACCACTGTGATCTGAGAATATCCAGACAGATACTGCCGTTACTGTTAATATTTGGGTGGTAAATTCTTGTTGTAAATGCAACCTGAAAAACAAAAGACACACACGTCAGTGAGGAGAAGTCAGATAAGGCTGAAAGACACACCCACTCGTCAGGTGTAATTCCAATGCGTATAAACAAGGCAGTGACATCTGATGCCTCTGACTATTATCTTCTGGAATGACAGGTATTACTTCATGGGGGCTGTGGCGCTCACAGTATCGTTGTAGTTGTTGTTGTTAAACCAGACATTTTATTTTGAAGCACTTATGTAAAAGTGAAACAAAAAACAGTTTCAAGTGTGATCAGCCACACTACTTTACCTTGGGTGGTTTGAAGGGGTAGTCTGTTGGGAAATGAATTGTCAAGAAGAAAACACCACCCTGATATGGACTGTCAATCTGGGGGGAAAAAAAAAAGATGCCAATAAATGTCTTTGTGTGGATTTAAATCAGAAACGCAGCAACATCTGCACCAGGAAGTTTGTACTTACAGGTCCCATGATTGTGGCTTGCCAGTGAAACACTGCGGAGAACAGAAAGCAAAAGTTAAAAAGAAAGGTCGAGGGCATGTGATCTGACAGGATCTATGCCTGTACGATGGCCACGATCCCTGTGATTTCATTTTACTCTGGTATTCATTTCAGGAGGGGAAGTTTTCAAGATGGAGATTTACCAATTTTCAGCACTTGACCTACATCCAATTGGGATTTTGGTGTCAATGTAATGTCAATGTCTAATCCTCGAAATGTGGCTTGTTTTAGAATAAATGGCTTTACTGTTTCCACCACCTCCAAATAACATTCATCATATTACGCAAGGCAGCTCTTATCAAACATGCTGACGTGGTGACTTTACGAGCTGCCACGTTTCTGTCAATCACGCAGAGAGGTATTTAATTATTTTAACTGGTCAATCTGCCAGCGTGGAACTGTTCCATCTATTCAAATGTGAAAACCTGATGTTGTTTTTGCCCGACATCACAGTGCGGCCTTTTGGTGAAACCACAACACGTTAAGACGCCATCTTGACTTTTTAGACATCAAACCACGACGTCTGCGACTTGTGTTGTAGACAAAGACAATAAAAACAGATTCAGATGTAGTTTCAGCACTTACTGTCATCACCCACTGGGCCGGCCGAGCACTGTGCTGGAGGGTCACGAGCCAGATCATTGAGCTCCTGTAATGAAAAGAGGTTTAGAACAATCACCAATTAAGACCACCTTGATCCTCTGAGAGGAAAACAACGAGGAGACGCAAATCTTAAAATACACGCGCTGGAACGACGAGGAGGAGGAGGAGCAGCAGGAGGAGGAAGTGTGCTTTAAAAACATGTTGGGGTGTAAATATCAGCATGGAAGGAAATGCCACATGACAGGCCGTGTGCTTATTGCCCAACAGCCTCCCCCTCCAGCTGGTGTTGTTATCTCCTGCCACTTCAAGTTCAACTCTCACCACAGACCCAGGAGGAGTCAGGGAGGCCACCTTGTTATAGATGAGACCTGTAAGCACACACACACCACAGACTCGGTCTGTTATTTTTAGGTCGACAGCTATTTTAGAGGAGTGAGGTGGAAGCCACTGCCCCACCTCGGCCCTTCTGACTGTTTCATAAGTTAGTCGAGAAGATTCCCGTCGACACCAGGAGGAAGTGAAGTGAGCCGCTCAAGCCGGAGAGGTGTCGATCTCCTCTGCCGCCTCCTCCTCCTCCATTACCGCGGCGCAGAACACACTGTGTCTGTGACGCGCTCGGGACAAATGGGTTACGACCACATACCAAGGAAGTGTATCACGAACACAGATCCGATCCACCGACTGATATCATGAGTCACGGGTTTCGGTAACGCCGTCGTCGTCTTGTGAAACGTTCACACGAAAGACGGTGGAGAAGAAAAATCCACCACGAGGCGACGATAAAGGTGTGTTTGTGCGAAGGGAGTAAAGTGTTGGGCAATCCACGAGGCCTCTCCTCTGCCGTCAACCCACCGAGCCTGGAAAGTGAAACCGCTAATGTTCCCCGGCTAACTCAACAACCCCCCCCCACACACACCCCGACCCGAGCGGTGCCTCAATCCGCTTTCCGCCGTTTAAAAGACACCATCCAGCGGGGAGGCTGCCCCGCGTTGACGTGACTTCGGGGCGGAAGACAAGGGGAGACTTCAGCCTAAACAGGTTCCGGCGCCATGTTCCCTTCGCGGAGGTAGCGGCTCCGGAGCTAGCGCTTGTGGGAGGCTAGCGGCGCGGAGCTAACACGCAAGCGACGCGGTCTTACCTTGTGGATCCGTTTCAGGGCCATCCTCTGTCGGTGGTCTGCGCTTCAGTTACGAGGAGGGGGGTTCCGGTCCGAGGGGCGACCCCGATGTGCCAGGATGAGTCGCTGCCTGGTGTGAAAAGCGGACGCGAGGTCAACTCCGCGGCCTTTTTCTTCTCGGGGCTAACGGGAGTTAGCTAGCAGGCGAGCTAACACTACGTATGCGCGGTGGTAACAAAGCTAGCTGGCGGTCTGATCCACCGAGACACGGGGCGATACGGAGTAAGAAAAAAAAAAAAATTAAAAAAAAAATCCCTTTGCGGTCCCCGCTAGATTTAACGCCTCTGGCCGGTGTTCGCTCGGTGCGAGCCGTGTCCCGTCGCTGGAGGCTGAGTACGTGCGTGAGCCAGGTGAAGTTACCCGGGCGACAAAGCTCCTCGTTCCGCTGCCTGTCCGTCGGTAGCTCCGGTTGTAGCCCACTAGCGGCGGAGCGGGTGTATGAGACGATTTATGGCTGAAGGAGGCGCAGCTGCGGCGGAGAGGGACGGAGCGGATGTGATGGAGGACTGGTGACGAGCCTGTGCACACGCACGCAAACGCACAAACACGCACGCAAACGCACGCACAAACACGCACAGGCCTGCCAGGACATGTGAGACTTCAATTAAGATGTAATTCGTTTTTAAATATGCTTCACTTGAATTAACGTGAACACAAATTATTCTTCCTTTCTGACTTTATTTTTTTTTTGTATTTGACCTGATTCATGTTTCTACTTAACTTTACATAATTTCATACAAACAGTGAAGAGTGTGTACAATCTACACACTCAGCATATTGTTAAATCAGATTATTTTCTATTTCCTTTCTTTTCTGTTTATTATTCTCCCGTCTACCTATTTGTATCGCTCACTATTTGCCTCACACATCCTCCGTTCTTAAGCCTCAACAGTTGTTTTATATTCACAACAATCTAAGATGATTCAATATTTCATGTTTCCAAATATACATTTAAAGGTGTTGCAATAACTCCACAAATCATTATCATAACTATTTGTTTTATATTTAACAACCCTTTGTTCACTGAATAAAAAAAATGTAAGATGTTACCTGGTTGCATTCTTTTCGACAGAGTCGTATGTTTGTGGTCATATTTGGTCCAAATCCAGGTCGGATGCACACGACCTTGATTTCACTCTAGACTCTAGATTACTTTCTCTGGTTACTAGAGCGACAAGGCAGGAGTCATGTGGTCGATACAAACATGGAAGACGTAAACTGTCTGAATCACATCTTTGTACAGAGAACGAATTTCTAATTTTATAGTAGTAGTTTGTGGTTTTTATATATTTCTATTCTTTATATTTTGTTGTTGTGTCTTCACAGCTAGTTCACACTTTAAACGCTTGGCTTCTTCTCTCTTCTTCCAGCGCTTCAAATTAACCACTTATCATATTCTTATGCAATATGACTTGTTTACACTTAACTAAACGATGATCTAATTTAAGTCACTGCAGAGCAACTGGAGCTGAGTTATATCTCAGAGTATAAATAATGTACCCGAGAGGACCATGAGTCACATTTGTAAATATTTCCGCTTCAGTGTCACAACTCCAGGTTTTTAAACATTTTAATTTCATGTTTGATGAAGTTTAACAAAAACATTAAATTTTTTTCCCCCACCATTTCTTCTACAAAAATGAAAAGAAAATAATTAACTGCGTGTTTAGGAGGAGATTTTAAAAAAGGTTTGAGCTATCAACAAAAATACAAGTTTTTAAAAGGTGCTCTGTTTTGAGAATATGTCCTTCAACAACCATGAGAATGAGCTTTTTATGATGATGATACTTGTGTTGTAAAACACTGCATCATCTTCTAATGCACAAACCAGAAGTTTCATCTGCACGGTCCTGGCTGAAAGCTACAGACACAATGTTCTGTCAGCCTCACTGTGAGCCAGTCATGATTTTATTAACACTGAGCCGACAGTAAAAAAAAAAAGAAAAAGAAAAGTAAAAGGTTCACAGCCGTGATTTAATACTGGGAGACAGAGAACGTTTGCAGTACAAAAGGCTGATTCTGCAGCTGAACTGCTGAAGCTTTTCCTTTTTGCAACATTGCTTTCACAAAAAATGCTTTACGTAAGAAAATTAAATAAAAATAAATAAAATTCAGTTTAATTGAAGTAAAGTTTTTCCTTGTAACCTGCTCAATTATTGTTGCAAGGTAATTTCTTGATAGTTAAACATGTTCCAATAATCTATATTTTCTTACAATTGTACAACAATGGTATTCATTTCACCAGATTTCATGTCCCTATTAAATCCAGATGCACGTTAATGACCAAACTGAAGCACATTCATTACACTGTCTGGTACCAGATACAGATTTGTTTTCTATTGGTTCACAGAGAGAAGGCAAATGTGTTTTATTCTCCGTGAGAGAGGGTCAACATGGTCCACTCTGAGACCCGTCAAGGCACTGATGCAGGGCAGTCAGTCACTGAGATCTGTGCTTGTGCAAGAGAAGGTGGCGTCCCGGGGGGGGCCGCCGAGGGATGTGTGGGACAGGCTCAGCCTCTCAGAATCTGCATGTGTACCGTTATCCAGAGCTCTGAGTCTTCATGGGAGGTTTCACAAATGAACAAGGCTCGTATTACGTGAGACGGCCTCTCGATTCGTTATCAGCATTGTTTAATTCTGGTAAATCAAGGTCTTTACACAATGGATGTGTCCCATCACAGCCGTCATGACTACCACTGCCATTTTGTGTCCCTCTAAGACAAAAACTAGCACCGTCTTCAAGTCCTGCTCCGTTAGGGTCACATTGCTCCTCCATTGTATTCTCATTCATGTCATGAGGAGTCGATGGCAGTGGTGGGTCCGTAACGTTCTCCTCACTGGGGCTGTGCACGTTGGGAGGGGAGGTTTTACCTTGGTGCACATGGGAACTAGAAGGCTCCCCTGAAGACCAGCTTGACAGTGGGTTGACAAAACCAACGAAGTCTCCATTGGAGCTGAACCGAAGTCCCTGAGCGACCTCTCTTTGTTGTTCAACTGGTTGACCTGTATTTTCTTTGTCACAAGCTCCTCCCTCTGACATTTCCCTCTCCTCCTGCTGCTCGACGGAATCAGGATTTGCATCGTCACCGTGAGTCTCTTGCGGTGCATTGGTGTCTGGGTTTTGAAACCCATGTTGTGCAGCCAGATCTGATCCCGCGTCTCTCCCTGCTGGAGCGTCACCCGAAGCCTCGCTCTGACCTGGCGGGGTGGGCCTGACCGTCTGGTGGCACATGGGACAGGTCTCCTGCACGTACAGCCACTTGCGGAGGCAGTTGCCATGAAAGAAATGTCGACAGTATGTGATCACACCGGAGCTCATTTCCTGTGAAAAGAGACAGAGTGAAAATACCTGGAGAGTATTGGCTTAATATGCACACAGAGACTGATTATATGTCACCAGAAGGTTATAAAATTAGTCGTAAAAGAAGTAGTAACATGTAATCAGGGCTTCTGAAGTCAATGGTGTCAAAGGCCATCTGGCCTGGAATGCTTTTTTAATCCAACCATCACATAAACTACTTTCAGATATGCACTGAAGTTTTCCAGAGGGGCTGTATAAGAGAGTGTAAATGTCCCAGTCAGTTGCTCCAGACATTTTCCTGCCCCAACTAAAATTTCTGGAAAATGTCTGGAGCGAGCGAGTGCTTGTGTTATAGATGAGGACGATGAAGATGTTAACTGAGCTTTTGCCGGTGTCAAAGTGCTGTAAACAAAAACACTGTGCCTTCCGTATCTGAATTTATACGTCATTATCCGCCTCCTCACTGCTCTACCGAGATATCACCCCTCCCCTGAATGTTCTGGAAATGTCCGTGTTGTTATGATCACGTCTGTTCTTCATATGTGAAAGAGAAACTCTGGAAAACATCAGGACACGTTCTTTCTGAAAACAACTATACAAGAAGTACTTCGGAAATATGTTGCTGCACAAGTAAAACCTGAAAAACTGTATAATTATTAAGTTGTTTATTGTGAAATATTAATAAGTTGTTATGGCAAGTTCTGCAAATATTTACACAAATGTATTTATTGTGAATTTTTAATATCACAATCTCTTCTATTGTTTTAGAATCTTTTTCAAATGTGTATTTGATTTCTTACCTCTCAGTCTGTCTCTGTGCTGCTTCAACACAAAACCCCCCTCAGGGATCAATAAAGTCTTATCTTATTTTTTTTTTTTTTTGTTTAAACGGCAATGGAAAAGTTCTTGAACCAGGAAATGGTGGAGTTAACTTTGTATCTGTACCTGTTCCCTGGTCAACTATTACACAAAAAACCCCACAATGTCAGGCTGAAGATTCCTTCCTGCTCTTTTCGGGAAGAGGTGGAGCTTAACTGGAAAAACCGGATCAACAGGCAGCGTTCAGCGCCACATTTACACAGCTCTGTCATGTGTGTGCCACATGACACACAGAGCAGGGCCAAAATCATACATGGCTTTATTTTCAAATCTGAACATCACGGCTGATGTGATGATGATGATGTAACTTTTGTTAGTAATAATATCCTATTTTTTTGGTTTACTTCTGTCGTGTGACTTAACACTGCTGTGTCATTTATGTGCAGATCAAATATAGATGCCAGTTCCTGAAAGTCTTCACAACAAGTACAATGAGTTTTAAAGTTATGTAAAATATTCCAGCTTTGAATTTACTTCCTCCACTGACCCGCCCATGACGGTGTGACTGACCTGGAAGCAGATGGAGCAGACGTCGTTGTGCTGCTGCAGCTGCTGAGCCGTCGCTCTGGGGAGGGAGTTGATCTTCTTGGCCGCTTCCTGTCTGAGCAGGAAGCTCCTCCAGCCGGACTGACCTCTGAGCCAAACGTTGAAGTATGAGTGGATGATGATGACAGAGGCGCCCATCCAGCTCCATTCCCCGAACAGCGACTCCCAGGTCCCGTAAGCCACCACGCAGAGCGCCACCACAAACTCCAGCACCCGGCTCACGGCGTTCACCCAGTAGATCACTTCGTCCAGACTCTCAATCGGGTCGCTGCGAAACAGCTCCACCATGAAGAGGGAGTAGATCAGCAGGGTGCCTGTAACCTGGAAAAATACAATAAAACTTCTTTATTTCTAAGTTTATAAGGATATGATTTCTATTTTTTATTATAATGATTTTCCAGAATTATTCATGTTTTCTAAATAAGGCGGACGAGGAGGGGTCATATTC